ATACACGTATAAAATAATATGTATTGTGCATAAATATAATAAAAGTAAATTTTGATCAAACATAAATATATTTTACGTTAGTTATTTTTAATTTCTCTTATCTACTAAAATAATCATAAATTTTTGTTTTTTAATATTCTAATCCCGCTTTTGAATTGGATAAAAAAATCTAGTAGTTATTGAAAAGAAAATAAAATATCTTCAAATATTTTCTATAATCCTTAAATAATTTTTTTATTAATTATCACATACTCGTTATTTTCATATATTTGTTATTAAAATTTTTTAATAATTTTTATTAGGAAAAGAATTTCTTAAAATCTTTTTTAGATAATACATAGAATTTTCACCTAGTATCTCCTTTATTAATATATAGAACATTATTTTTTTTTTACGGCGAATAATAGTATGTTTAAGATGGACGATAAATGATTTAATTGTGATGGTGACAACATACAATTATACTACAAATCATTAAGTAATCTCACATGCATGACCTTTTTATACTTTTCCACGAACAGAAAAAACAACGATACGTGTCAAACACTTCCTCTGTTTTTATTCATCCTCTCCAAGAAACTTTGAATTTGACCCAAATTTGTAATAATCACACACATTTATATAAATTCTTCTTTTCAGAAATCACAAATGCATCTCCCACATAACCAACCTGAAAAAAACACACTAAAGCCCTCTTTCATTTATAAGTATTTTCCACTTTCACCCCAAAACTCATTGATATTACATTCACGACCCAACTGTTGTTATTCATGTCATCTAGGTTGATTTACCGTACGCTTCGACCAGTGCTATCATCTTCGGTACAATCTTCCGGTTTAGGTATTGGACCGGGAATAAGGGGACACGTCATCAGCCAATTGCACACCGCTCGGTTTTTTAGCTCGGACACGTCATCTCCGGCGACTGGGAATAATAATAACCAACCGGAAAATCCTGTCCGAACGGTCGACGGCGAAGTGATATCCACTTATTGGGGTATACCTCCGGCTAAGATCACTAAACCGGACGGTTCAGCGTGGAAGTGGAATTGTTTTCAGCCATGGGATTCATACAAACCGGACGTGTCCATTGATGTAACCAAACATCATAAACCGTCTAATTTCACTGACAAATTCGCATATTGGACCGTCCAAACCCTCAAAATACCGGTTCAATTATTTTTCCAGGTAATTTAATCATAATAAATTATTTTATCAAATTATCAATCGGTTTATAACTATGTCATGTAATTTTAAGATAGGTTATAAAGTAATACCGGTTCAAAATTTTCTATAAGAAAATTGATTATTTTGAAATTTTTTTATTGATACCAAATAAATTCGATATTTTTTTTTGTTTTGTGTATAGAGGAAGCATATGTGCCATGCAATGTTGCTAGAGACGGTGGCTGCGGTGCCGGGAATGGTCGGAGGGATGCTTTTGCATTTGAAATCTCTCCGGCGATTCGAACATAGCGGTGGATGGATCAAAGCGTTGCTGGAAGAAGCCGAGAACGAGCGTATGCATCTCATGACCTTCATCGAACTCTCACAACCCAAATGGTATAAGTTTGTACATTTCTGATAAAAAAACAAAGTTTTAGTACTTTTTCGAAACATAATTAAATTGAATTGGTATATATAAATATAACCGTTTCGGTTTGAATTGGACCGGTTCTCTAATTGACAATAAAAATCTTACATTTATGGAATTGTGTAATATCTCATTTGAACCGTTTTTTTTTTAAGGTACGAACGTGCGATTGTGTTCACGGTCCAAGGCGTTTTCTTCAACGCATATTTCCTGGCTTATATAATTTCTCCAAAACTTGCTCATCGCATAACCGGATACTTAGAAGAAGAAGCTGTGAATTCTTACACCGAATTTCTTGAAGACATTGATGCCGGAAAATTCGAAAATTCGCCTGCTCCGGCCATCGCAATCGATTATTGGCGATTACCTAAAGACGCGACGCTAAGGGATGTGGTCTTTGTTATCCGAGCTGATGAAGCTCACCATCGAGATATCAATCATTATGCTTCGGTAAGTAAGAAGTTATATATTCTTGAAGAATGATTTTTTACATTAGGGGAGTGTGTAACATTTGTTAAATAATGGGGTTACAGGATATACAATTTCAAGGACGCGAACTCAAGGAAGCTCCGGCTCCGATTGGATATCACTAAAGATTATGTGACAAAACTTTATGTTATACTTCAATACTTGTATGAATATTCCTTATATATCTGAATGA